CCCTCTGCCTTTTAACTCGTTTCGCAGCTGGCTCTTGCACGAAAGATCCTAGCGGCACCAGACCAGCGTTGGCAAGCGTAGACGACTTCACTGAGAACACTGCGCCACTGACAGCATATTTCATCCAATGGATCTGGATCAGGTTCGTCAGAACCCTTTCTCTGTCCGAGATTGCTGGCCTGACAGAGGCCAACAGCTTCTGGGCTTCGGTCCGTTCTTTGGTCTTGCTCTTGGCATGCTTGTCTGCTTGTTCTTTCAAGGACTGGTACGTGGCACGAGTGTCGCAGCGATACATAACATCTCTTGCAAGTCTTGTGTAGACGTTGTGCAGCCTCCTCCCTTGGTGGCCCACTTTGGCCACGCCTGAACGGCCTTTCTGGTTGATCCTCTTGAATTTGTTGAGAAACTCTGCCAACTCTGGGTGCGTGTCGAAATTCAGAACCGCTGGGACAGCACTGGTTCCGCGGCACTTCTCAAATTCCACCAAGAATGAATCTACCCAAGATTCCCTCCCCCCCGATGAAAGCCATCTGTGAACAAGGCCATGCGATTTGCCAACGAAGCGCGGATAGGGCCGAAAAGAATCTGACAAGACCGGGTCGTCACATTTGCGTGTTTCCCCTCGATCGCCGTCTCGTTTACAGGCATGAACTTAAATTTGGCGAGCTCGATCAAGAAAGAATTAGAACACTCCTGTCTTGTCGCCGCACCGGCCGCAAATGCTCTGAGCTCCCTGGCGAATCCAGACTCTGGCCCAAGCAACAGCAAAGTGATCCGATGATGCACGCTGTCGCTTTCGCCACTGAGGCCATCGAACGCCTGCAGCGCATCGCGCGCAATGCGCGCGGCAATTGCCTCGTCATTGTGAGCCACTCCAGCAAGCACCCAGGGGAGTTGAGTCCAGAACGATAGCTTCTCATACAGTATACCATTCATGGCGACTTGAGATGCCCTAAATGTTTCCATGATACGGGACTGGGAAGAATGATCGCGCGAAGCTAGCTCATCACTACAAAGCACGCTTGCGAGATCAACTTCGACATTCCCCCACAATTCCCCCATGACATCACGCAGCTTCCCCGCGGCAAGCTCAGGGGCCCTGCACCCAGACGGAGGACGTGACTTCCAGCGGCCCCCTGTATGTTTCTTCGCAAAGGTCACCCAAGTATGTCCAGATATGCAGCGTCGAAGGTGTTCGTGGAATGCGCGCCCGCTCGACCATAAGGAGAGCTCCGACGTGACTTTCTCCACGTTCAGTGAGATCTTGATATAGCCATGGAAAACGGGGTCCCTAAGAGCTTTCGCGATGCCGTCGGGGTCAACCTGGGGCCCGGGGAGCAGTGAAATCCGAACAACTTCAAAGCGCGATCACGCGGCACGCGCCCAATGCAACGATGCAACGCAAGGCGCAGAGCCAATGTAAAGGACTTCTGGAAGGCCACAAAGACCGAGGACCGAAGACCACACCTTGCGCTTCGCGCCCTCACGCTGGCTGTCTGGGCCCATTGTAAAACAAAAATCTCATCGCGCTTTGACCCTACTCCTCCCCCCTCACCTTCTCGCCCTCGCCCCCGCCTCCATCTCCCCCTACTCGCCCTTGCCCTTGAAGCCCCCCCTCCAAACCTCTGCCCCTCGCGAAGCATAGCGTGGACGGGGGGCAGGTAGGAATGATGGGGAGTAGTAGCGTCGAGGGTCATCCCGCGAGGGACGAGGGAGGGCGAGGCAATGCCATGGGGCCCGTGGTGTCGCGGGCGGGCCCACTGGGGGCCCTTTGTGACTCCGCCAGTTGACAGCCCTGGCCTTCTTCAATTTCGAGTGGGTCTCTTCGTCGTCGCCCCCCTCCTGCCCCAAGTACTTCTTCGCTGACCACTTCGCCATCAGGAGCTCCCGCACGGGGTCGAAAGATTTGAGGAAGTTGAGGGCGCTCTTAAACCGCTCCCCATACAAAGTCGCTCCTTTAGGCCAGTTGTCCAGGACCGCCTTCCCTTTGGATTCAAACTCTGCCCCCAAAAAACACGTTTGATATAAGCGTCACTTGTAATCTGGGACGCGCAGGAGGTGTTCGAACAACTTTGACTGCTTGAAGAAATCGCCCCACCCAGGCATGTACTTGTGAACATGTTGCACAATATTGTTCACAATGTGCTCCATCCCGGCCGCGCTGGCACAGTTTGGCAGGAGATGTTTTCTGTCGGGGCGAACTGCAACGACTTCAGGAGGGGGGGTGGCCCCTCGGGCATCAGAATCAGCTCAGGATCTGGGTTCATAATGGGCGCGCCGTCTGGGTCTTCATTGATATCGATATCGTTCCCGAGCCCCCCATCTGGGTCCATGTCCTCTATCGCAAGCGGCGCAAGCACGTCGCCGTCGCCAGCGGCGCCGCTGCCACTCCCCCCCCCCCCCAGCTGATGGTGATCATCTTCTTCGACATCCAGGGCGGGGATAGCCAGCTCCGCGGCAGCGCCCCCCCTGCCCATTGCCCGCTCGACACTTGACGAGTTGACGAGAACACCCCGCACCCCAAGCAGTGAATGCAGTGGCGCCTCCGGGCCCCGGGCCGCCGGGGCCGCGGCCTCGCCGCGCCTGTCTTTGGCGATTCGCCGAGACCTGGATCCCCCCAATTCGCCTTCCTCGCAGAAACTAGCGCAAGCACTGTCTGTTGAGCTGGAGAAGCGAAAAAGAGCCCGAGATCACAGTGAGCAAGGGCAGCAGCAACGAAATCAACATCAGGGATCGCGGGCCAGGCGAGCGGCGAGAGAGAGAGGACTGAGGAGGAGAACAACAGCGCTGGAAGTTGGCGGGGGCTCGCAGGCGACGCAAGGGGTAGAGGGGGAACAGGGGAACAACGAGCGCGCATGCACCCACAGGCCAGAGGATTCAAGGATTACAGAGTCAGACAGATGTCATCCGACGGCATCTGAGACCGACTCGACTCGAACGAAGCATTTGCCCGTTGATTGTTCGGCCCCGGCCTGCAGCGACTGTGCTGAGAAGCCATGCCGCATGGCCTCTGCCCTCGCGCCTCCTATGACCTGCCAGGCCCCAGAGGCGCTTCAATCCTCTTATCTCTCGCACGGCTAGCGGCGACGGCTTGGGGCAGCGGCGCAGATACAGAACGGGGTAGCAGGATGGGTACTCATCGCATTCGTCTTCGCATTGTCATTCACCTTCGTCGTCGTCTCAATGTCATTCATCATCTCATGCATCATGAAAACCCACGGCTCGCGACAAACCTTGCTGCCGACATCGCCACTTGCCTAGCTAGCGCAAGCGTGGCTTACTCAGTCACTCACTCACTTGGTTAGCGCCCCAGATCTCGTCAGCGCGATCGGCATCCTCGGGGCAGAGCGGGCTGACCAGATTGGCCGCCGGGGTCTCCTGGATCAGCGCGTCCACTGGCGTATCTGGGTTGAGCGCGCAGGCGTAGTACTCCTTGCTGTTAATGAGCAAGTTGTTCTTCAATGGGCGGCCGATGGCCTGGCCCTAAACGGACATGTAGATGCGAAGGCGGTTCGCACCCTCGTTGTCGAGAGGCAGTCCGAGAGACTTGACGATGCAATGCTTGAGGAGCTTGCAATTGTAAGTGAACGCGACTGCGGTGGGGCCCGGGCTGACCTCGCCGCCGCCGCAGTCTGGCTCCTCGGAGTCAACCTTCGGCGGCAACGTGACGGACTTCCAGGCGTCATCACCCTGCATGAACAACACCATCTTGGTTGTGTTGTCGATCTTCTCCCACTCGAAATCGCTCGGCCAGCCCTTGCAGCCCCGCGGCTCAGGCGCCGCCGCGGCGTCCTCCGAGAGAACCATCAGCCAAGCGTTCGGGGGCGCCAACTGCGAGCCGATGATCTCGACCCCTTGCGTCTCTGGACCTGGCGTCTCTGACTTGCCCGCGGCTTTGAAGACCCCCATGATCTTGCCCTTGTGCAAGGCCGGGGGGAAGGCCGCCAGCTCACCTTTGATCGCCTCCGCGGTCGCGGCCTGGCGGTAGAGGAGCACGTCGTCGGGCCGGCAGTCCAGGACGTCCGCCCCCGCCTCCTGCGAGGCCGTTGTGAAGGGCAAGAATAACCACTGCTGAATGTCCTCGGCGAATACGTGGTGGAAGTGAACGCGAGACGCCGCCGCGTCCTTGCCCTGCAACATGCGGGTGTACTCCGGCGCCGACATCGAGGACATCGGAGGAAGCGTTGAGGCCGGCACCAGCTGGCGTCGGTTGCAGCCGCAAAGGCTCGGTCGAGTCGAAACAAGCGAGAATGCTTGGGCGAAAAGACTACAGACTACGGCCGGGCCGCCAGCGCGCGCTGAGAGCATGACTATCTTCGCGCCTCCGCGCTCGGCTCCTCATCTCCAAAACATGCGATCTTCCTAGAAATCGTCCGGATCTCATATTCACGCTTCGCGGCCCTGGGGCCTGGGGCCCACGAGGGCCCCTGCGCTCCGAGCATCCAGCGCGCTCCGATCCACCGCCCCGCCTCCTCCTGCTGCCCCTCTGCCTCCTCCTCCTCCTCCTCCTCCTCCTCCGCCTCCTCCCTCAATCGGCCCCCCTCCTCCTCCTCCTCCCCCTCCGCCTCCTCCTCCTCCTCCTCCTCCTCCTCCTCCTCCTCCTCCTTTGTCCTCCCCCGTCCCCCTTCACCCCCCTCCTCCTGCCCCCCCCCCCAACCTCTGAAAGATACGCAGGAGTAAGCTTGAGCAGCAGCAGTCTCCTGCCCGTCTGCCCTGTCCGTTCCACCGCCACCCTCGGCTCAAGGCGAGGGAGGGCGGGGCTCTTTCTGACAGAGCCTGGCTGTGCCAGGCAGACCGCGCAGCCGACAGCGCGGCCGTTCATATCGTGGACAAAAGGTGTTCACTGACAATTATCACGATAATTGACATCTACACACACTTTCTCTTGCTCTTCCCATCGTCACCAGCGTGAGCGATCTTGAGGACGAGCTCTAGTAATCAGATTGGTAGCGGAGCCTGTGGTCTCCGATAACCACGGGCCCCCACCGGTCTCGGCCTGAATGGCGACTTCAGCCGCCAGCGGGCTACCTACGACGCGCGTCGACGTCCCCTCATGGAACGGCGAGGCAGACAAGTTGACGAGCTACAAGTTTGAGGTCTCCATGTTCACCAAGAGCATCAAGACTGCGGAGCGCTACGTGTGCGGCCCGCAGCTGGTGCGCGCCCTCGGGGCGCGAGTCCGGACGACGGTGGAGAGCTGCCCGGACATCGACACGGTCGACGAGATCGACAAGGATGGAGTTTTGATTGGTTGGAACAAAGTGTTTCAGTACGTATTGGAGAAGCTGGACTTCACCAGCCTGAATGATACGGGCCTCCTCGCGGAGGAGTTCTTCCTGAAGGTCAGCCGGAACTCGGGCGAGACCTTCCAGGACTGGGCCGCCAGATTCGAGAAGAAGGAGCGGGAGCTGTTGGTGCAGCTCCAAGTCATTGATTCCAGCGTGACGGAAGTGATTGCGAAGCCTCTTCGGACATGGTGGTTCCTTCGGAAGTCCAAGCTATCCCCTGTTCAACGTGGAGAGATCACCGCCACTGCAGGTGGCGACCTCAACTTTGGCAAGACATACAAGGCCTTGCTCACGCGCTTCCCGGCGGAGGCGCTGGCGGAGCTCGACGGCAAGCAGCACCGTAAGGCCTTCTATGAGGACACGCCCGTCGACGACGTTGAGGACGAGACTGGTGGGGAAGATATTGATTTCACAGAGGTTGTCGAGCAGCTGATCACCCTCGCTGAAGAAGATGAAGATGAGGAGCCAGCTGACGACAACCCAGCGGACAACGAGGTGTTCGCAGAGTTCAAGCAGGTGGGCAGGAGCTTCAAGGACGCTCGCGACCTGATCCGACGCCTTCGAGTGTCCCGCGACTACTACCCGGTCGTGTCGCTCAAGGACCCCGATCGCGTGCCCCCTCCTCCAAACCCGGGACGAGGCTTCCAGCGTGGCCGTGGCAAGAACGGTCGAGGCCGCGCTCGCTTCGACACGGGCAAGGGACGTGACATGTCCAAGATGAAGTGCATCGCGTGCGGCGAATATGGTCATCGAGCGGCGGACTGCAACGAGAGGTTCAAGAAAGATAACACGAGAGATGGAGCTCGTGGGACTACTCACAACGGCTTCGTCCTGTCCGCCCTCGACGAGTACCTCTACCTCCTGGAGCGCGACGGCATCTGGGCGATCCTCGACATCGGGGCCACGAAGAGCCTCGGCGGCCTCGAGAGCGTCGAGAACCTCATGTACGAGATGCTGGACCAGCACGGCCAGGAGTTCGAGACGACACATGACGAGTGCTCATTCACCTTCGGCGACGGCCTCCAGAAGAGCTCGATGGGCACGGTGAAGGGGAACGTGTTCCTCGGCGGCGACCTGACCGAGGTCAAGCTGTCGGTGATGCCGAACCGCGTGCCGATCCTCCTGGGCATGGACATTCTGACTGACTCGCTGAAGGTTGTGGTCGACTGCGGCCGGAACTGGATCGGCCTTCCGACCATGGGCAACAAGGTGTTCTTCTGCGAGCGCCTCTCGAGCAACCATCTGGCCGTCAACCTGACGACGCCGCAGTGGTGGAAGGAGGTGCCGCTTTCCTTGCCGAGTGCCGGGTGCCTGACGTCCGAAGCGACGGCGCCCGATGTTCTGGTCGAGGAGCTGCCCGAAGAGGCCGCTCCGTGCAGCTGCTGCCCTGCGGTGCGCTAGGGACAGCGCCCCCTGATGATGGCAGCAGAAGAGAAGTTATCTCGATTGTCAACTTCATCATCGGGGGGGCCACACCGACTCGGTCACCGCGAGTTCAAAACACCTACCAGAGCGACGGAAACCTCGGCGGCGCGGACACCTACCAGAGCGACGGAAACTGCGACACGGAGCGGATCGGCTCGAGCGACGGAAACCTCGATTTCGTTCGGACGGACGGTCATGTCATCCGACCGGCTCTCTTCATCATCACCGTCGATCGGGACATCATCACAGTCAAGAGGACCGTTAGCAAGCAAGCCTCAGGATCAAAATATGGAAAAGCAAAGCGATGAGCCAGCACAATACCATCGGTGTTCATCATCATGCTGTTCGCAGCCACCTTCGGCTCAGTTCATCAACTCGGCAATAGCCTCAACCAGCAGTCTTTCACGACCTCCATATTCTTCCCAGGCCGCCACTGGCCGCTTGGATGACATGCAGCGACGGTTCTTTGGCTGGGCAATCCTCGGAGCAACAGCCGCCACCTGTGCCTGCGGCCCGCCCCGAGTGGAGCCGCCCTCGCACGAGGGGATCGACAACTTCGGCTCCAGCGACCCCGACGCCAGCATCAGCAGCAACACCAGCTATTCCGGCGCTACCAGCGAAGTGGTACAACCCAGCGGGGAAGCGCGGCTGCTGCGGAGCTCTGGGGAAGACCAAACGCGGGTGCAGCTGCTTCGGGGGCAAGAGCCACCAGTGCCTCAAGACCTCACAGCAGGGAGCACCCGGGACGCCAGCAGCGGCACCAGCAGCGGCATCAGCAGCGGCAGCCAGCAGCGCCCCACCGAGTCCAGCGGGGGCTCAGCCAGTGACGAGACCTCCGAAGTCCGCGTGCTCCTGCTGCGGGACCCTCGGGAAGACGATTCGGGGGTGCAGCTGCCGCGGAGGCAAGAGCCACACGTGTACGAAGGCGACGGAGGTGACCATCCGGGAGCAGGCAGTGGCTCTACGCTGGCGGCGCCTGTCCAACAAGCTGACCTCCCCGGAGGTGCAGGGGGGCTGGAAGTTCACTCCGGAGATGCTCGACGACTCGGAACTGCCGGAGATGGACTCGAAGAGGAAACGCTGAAGCATCTCGACGACCAGGATCTCAAGATGTTCTACGAGAGCCACGACAAGGTCCTGGACGAGATCTACCAGACCATCGCCGAGGACCTGACGGAGCTCGGCAGGCCCTACCGCATCGACCTGATGGAGGTGTGCTGTCCGGAGGACTCGAGCCTCAGCAAGGCCGTGCAGGACCAGGGAGGCAAAGTGTTCAGGTGCGGCCTCTTCAATGGGATCGACATGGGAACGGCAACCGGGCTTCGACGCGCGCTTCACCTTCTCCGACGACTCCGACCGCGCCGCTTGGTTCTCAGCCCGCCATGTACAGCAGACTGCCCGATCCAGAATCTCAACCAGAAGACAGCTCAGCAGAAGGCCACGTATCTGGCGAAGGTGCGCAAGGCCCGACGGATCCAGCGGAACTGCAAGAGCCTCTGGGAAGACTCGAAGAAGATTCACGACTGCCACACCGAGCTCGAACAGCCAGCTTCCAGCCGAAGCTGGACCAGGTCGCCCTCGATCAAGGCGATGCGCGACCAGATGCACGAGACGATCATCCATGGCTGTGCGCATGGACTTCGCGAAGCTCGTTCCGGCCTGCTGATGAGGAAGGCATGGCGCATATGCTCGACAGACCCGGAGTTCGGCGCTAAGCTCGGCAGGACGTGCTCCAACCGCCCTGGCAGGGGCGACAACCACACACACCGCCCCATCGAGGACGGACAGGTGGTGGCCCAGACGGCCTTTTACCCACCAGCACTGTGTAAGGCCTGGGCAAAGCATATCCTGAAGACGAACACCAGCGCGAGGTACGGCAAGGAGATCTTCACCAGCTTGGAACAGATCCCAGAGGACGCTGAAGAGGAGATGGAGGAGGTCCTCGACGAGGACCTCTTGCAGGATAACCCCGAGGCCATGGACGACGAGTCGGTCATGAAGGGCCTGGGCATCTCCGAGACACCGACCAAGAAGGAGGAGCTGGAGATAGAGCAACGGCTGACGCGGCTCCACCGCAACCTCGGCCACCCGAGCAACAAGACGCTGTACAAGATCCTCAAGGCATCGGGAGCACCTCTCCAGGTCCTACGAGCAGCTCTTCGCCTCCAGTGTCACGCATGCCATGCGGGACAACTACCAAAAGCCGTCAGGGTCGCCTCGGGCATCGAGTTGCCAGGCGTCCTAGAGGTGCTGGCCTCCGACGGGCTCGAGTGGCTCTCGCCGAAGCAGGACTCCTTCCTGATGACGTTGAACATCGACGAGGGATCCGGGCTCACCAGTGTCACCTATCATGGACAGAAGGGAGAGCGCAATGGCAACAGATCGACTCAGGAGGTGATTTCAACATGGAATGACTGGCGCGGACATTACCGCCGCCCCAGCCTTCTCCGTCTGGACCCCGAAGGTTGTCATCGTTCACAAGCAGTGGCCAGGTGGTGTTCGGACCGCGGCATCGAGCTGTGGATTGCCCCGGGCGAGGCCCACTGGCTGATGGGCAAGGTCGAGAGGCGCATCCAGCTTTTCAAGCGACTGATGACGAAGCTGGCAACGCTGGACCCCGACTGCCCGGTCGAGGAGTTGGTGTCCTGGGCCGTGAGAGCGATCAACAGCATGGACAAGGTCGGCAACCACTCCCCGTTCGAGCACGTGATGGGCGTCTCTGGGATGCCGGCCTCGAGCAACCCGTTCGCCATCATTGACGGGGGCACCGGGGAGACTCAGGAGCAGAGGCGCCTCCTCGCGCGCAAAAGCTTCCTGGAAGTAGAGTATGCTGCGCGTCGACACGCCGAACAGGCCCGCAACCGGGTCTATCAGACCTGGAATCTGGGGGACCTCGTCTACTTCTGGCGCAAAGGGAAAGGCCTTGACCCTCGCCCTGGGAAGAAGGGCGGATGGTACGGCCCTGCTCGTGTCCTTGCTCAGGAAAAACGACACGTGGACGGGCGCACCCGTCCTGCCTCGGTCATCTGGATCTCCCACGGGAGCGTGCTCATCAGGTGCGCCCCGGAGCAGCTGCGCGTCGCCTCGGAGGCAGAGAAGATGATCGTCGAATTGCAGCGGCAGAGCAACCTTGGCAAGACCATGACGGAGATCTTGGAGACAGCCAAGGGCGGTACCTATGAAGACCTTCTCGGACAAAATCCTCCAGACCTCCGAGAATACGAGCCTCCACCGCAGCCGACGATGGCGATCCCCGCGACCGAGGGCCAGACTCTCGAGAACAACAGCGAGGCGGGACTCCCCTCAGGCGCCGACAACGACACACCCGGCGCTCCTGATTCCTCCAGGCCACCAACACCAAGCTCAGCGACGCAACCTGAAGTGGAACCGAGTGAACCAGATGTCCGACGGTCCCGGTCACCACCGGCTCGTGCAGCTGACCGGTCAGCAGCCCCATCACGAACGCCAGGGAAAGCATCTACCTCAGCGGCAGTCAGGACGGAGTCTCGAACAGCATCGCGTCCGCCTCCCGCGACCTCGACCTCATCGGCGGCCGGTGCCGCATCCCGAGGCGAGTCGAGACCTCGATGGCGCATGACACACCGCGGACCAGAGCTCGATCTGCACGTACCGCCGGAGAAGCGACAGAAAGGCGCAGACGAGGAGATGGCCGACGCGCTGTTCGACAGCAACCACCTGGTCGACCTCTTCAAGGACAAGCTGGACATCACCCTCGGCATCGACGAACAGCAGACCGTCTACTTCGAGTACTTGCAGGACGAGAATACCACTCCAGACGGACGCCGAGGTTTGATGAGCCACATCCTGGACAGCTTCGTCGTCAACCAGCGCCGGAAGGACAAGGTGGAGCTGACCTGGTCCAAGATGAACGCCACCGAGCGTGAGGAGTTCGAGGCAGCCATCGCCAAGGAGACGAACAACTGGGTCCAGCATCAGGGACTTCGCGCTGTCCCGATATCTCGGGTCAAGGACGCGGCGGACGTCATCCGGGCAAGGTGGCTCTTCACCCGCAAGTCCGATGGGAAGGCGAAGGCCCGGCTCGTCCTCCTCGGCTACCAGACGAAGGACCTAGGACAGGAGCCGACAGCCAGCCCCACCGCGTCTCGGCGCGCCCGTCACGTGATGCTAACAGTGGCCGCCGCGAACCGCTGGAAGCTCATCAAGGGCGACGTCACCTCCGCCTTTCTGCAGGCCCACGACCTCGACAAGGACCTCTTCATCGAGCCAGACGCCGTCCTCAGAAAGGCCTTCCACGCGCAGGAAGGGGGAATCCTCCAGGTCGTGAAACCTGGATATGGGATCGGCGAGGCGCCCCGGCACTGGTGGGAGACGGCCAAGCACGACTTTGCGAAACTTCGACTCCAAGCCTGCGAGTTGGAGCCCTGCCCCTGGAAAGCACGATGTTCCAGGACGGGTATGCTCATCGGTATGATCATGGCCCACGTCGACGACTTCATCATGGCAGGAGATACCTCCCACCCTGAGTGGCAGGACATGGTCAAGCAGATCCGAGGGCTCTACAAGTGGGGCACCTGGGAGGACATGAATGACGGGCTCACCTCTCTCGAACAGTGCGGCGTCACCATCGAGGAGAGCGAGCAGGGCTTCTTCCTCCACCAGAAGTCGTACATCGACAAGATCAAGGAGGTCAAGGCGGCCAGCGGCAGTAAGCATCGGACCACCGACAGCCTCAAGGACTCTGACAAGGCGGTGCTCAGGGCATTCTGCGGCGAGATCTACTGGCTTGGCGTGAATACCATGCCATTTCTCTTATCGTGGGTAGCCGACCTCCAGATGAAGATACCAGCAGGTACTCACAACCTCTTCACGGCCGCTAACAACATCGTCAAGCTCGTCAAGCAGAGCCGCCACATGGGGATCAGGATCTACCGGCACGCCCTGGACGACCTCGCCATCTTCACCTGGTGCGACGCAGCCTGGGCCAGCCGCCCGGATGGACACTCCCAGGGTGGTCATATCACCGCTATCTCCTCCAAGGCGGCCATGGGCGGGAAGCTCTCCGAGTTCACGGTCCTCGACTGGGGCTCCAAGAAGCTGCGCCGCGTGGCTCGGTCAAGCCTGGCGGCGGAGGTGCAGGAAGCCGGCGACGCCGAAGGCGAACAGAGCATGGTGCGACTGGTACTTGCCGAACTTCTACACAATATGTCTCCACTGCAAGATACCGCAGCAGCACTACGACGATTACCAGCCATCCTGGTGACGGACTGCAAGGCCTTCTACGACGGCGTGGTGCGATCTCAGTCGGCGGGACTGGGACTGGAAGAGCGGAGGACAGCCATCGAGGCTTTGGCTCTCCGCAATGCCTTGGACGAGGGTCAAACGGTCGTGCGCTGGGTTCACTCACGCGCACAGATCGCCGACGGCCTCACCAAGGCAAGCTGGCAGGCATTCGGAGTGGTCCGGGCCTTCCTCGAGAAGCAGCAGTGGCGCCTCATCTACGACGAGCAGTTCATGAGCGCTCGCAAGCGGGCAGCTCTTGGCAAGGGCATCTTCGACGAGACGGACCCGACCGACCCGGCCTCAGCTCGTCAGGTACTCGAGGAGCGTAGGTTGGCCCGCCAGGCACAACCACCAGCCAGCATGGAAGGGAACCCTTCCATCTCGACGACCTCTACTGGGTTCTCGGCCTCCGAATCCCTGATCATGATCCAGAAGTTGCAGCAGGAGGTCGAGGCCCATCAGAAGTTCGTCCAGCAGCACACACGGAGCGCAGAGATTGCCTGCGCGCACGGTACAGGGCAGAACCTTTTTCCCCCTGTCTGAAAGATACGCAGGAGTAAGCTTGAGCAGCAGCAGTCTCCTGCCCGTCTGCCCTGTCCGTTCCACCGCCACCCTCGGCTCAAGGCGAGGGAGGGCGGGGCTCTTTCTGACAGAGCCTGGCTGTGCCGGGCAGACCGCGCAGCCGACAGCGCGGCCGTTCATATCGTGGACAAAAGGTGTTCACTGACAATTATCACGATAATTGACATCTACACACACTTTCTCTTGCTCTTCCTCATCGTCACCAGCGTGAGCGATCTTGAGGACGAGCTCTAGTAATCAGACAACTGGCCCTCCCCCCCGCGCAAACAGAAGCAAGCAAGCGGGCGGATGCCTTCCCCTGCTGCCCCCCCCCCTCCCGTCGGCGCCTCGTCGGGGAAGACGCCGCCGGGCTGTTGGAGCTGGAGGCGGCGGCTCCGCCGCGGCAGCGCGCCCCCCCCCCCCCATCCCCATGTCAATATCAAGGGTGGCGCTTCCGCCGGACTGCCAAGCGCCCCAACCTGGAAGCAGCGAAGTTGAGCATTCAACCTCGAAGCCCGCAATCGCCATCTCGGCCCCCGTATCAGTAGTGAAACGCACGAAGCTGCTGAGGAACGAAGCCAGGGACTCCGTGCGCGGCGGCAAGTCCAGGGTGAATGCGCGGGGCATACCTGAAACCTTATGCGCTGCCCCAGAGCGCGCCCCCGCCAGACCCACTGGAATGCAAACGTGTTGCCTGATGTTCCTTGCCAACAGATCATATGCAGCCTCGTATTCTTCAGAAGCGCGCAAGGACATAACCTCATGCACGGTTTGCCTCTGGATTGCAAGATCCTCCGAACGAAAGCCCGATGCGATATCGTGATGGACCAGGTTCGATTCGACGCACCAGGCGGCCTTCAAGACATCGGGCAGGCAGTCTTCTGGAGCCTCTGTGTAGCTTATCCAGAGCCAGTCGAAACCACACTGGGGAGAGCTATCACTCAGACACCACCGGACACACGCGGGCAACTGCTCAATTTCACGACGACGAGACAAACACAGCGCAGCATCAAAGGCCAAGGCGTACATCTTCACAGAATGCCACTTCGGTACAACTATCCTCCGTCGGAGCTCACTTCTTCTGATGTCGCGCAACGGGGCAAGCTCCTGCACGGCAACCTCCAGGGACCCCCGAATCATGGAGTTCGCCCTGAGGCAACATGCGATCTCGAAGGCGGTGCATCGTTTCCGCATCCACTCGCGCCTTGGCCCAGAATCCGATGCCAACCCAAAATGAGCTCTCCAGGACTCCAGGGTGCGAAGCTGCTGCTCCAGCTCAGCCCGCTGGCTAGGATCAGCTTGGACCAGCCGATTCCCTAAAACGCGAAACGACCTCAACATGAGCCCGACTGACTGCATATCGGGAGCACGAGCAACTGGTGGCACGCGCAGTGCGGGAGAAGGCGACCACGCGGGATCATCTGGAGGAGGCCAATTGGTCAACCACTCTTCCAAAGACTCCGCCAGAGCGGCTGCCTGTCGTCGGCCGCGACGGGGTGCGTCGCGCCACCGGGTAAGAACCAACAGCTCGCTCCACCTTCACCCAACCCCAGCATCAGTTGCGTCGAGGCAACGCTGCTAAGCTACTGCTACGCATGCTATTGCGACGTGCTGTGCGCTGCGCTACGCAACGCGCCATGCCCATTCATCACCATCGCCATCAGACATCTGCGGAAAAGTAAAATGGGAAGGCAGGCAACAGGATAGAGGGGCAAGCCATGGGGCGAGGGGCGGAGGAGGGAGAGGCAGGAAGAAGGGGAAGGGGGAAGGCGGCGAAGGCGGCGAAGGAGGAGGCGGAGGGATCATGATAGGGCGATGCGAAAGGAAGATGAGGAGGACGGGGGCGCAGGACGCACGGGGAGCAGAGGGAAGGAAGGATGCGCGGGCGCCAGCCCCGCAGGCCTTTACCTTCACCTCCTTCCCTCCTCCTTCCCCCCTCCCTCCGCCCCCCGTCCGCCCCCTGCGCGCCCCTCCCCATCCTCCCCCTTCCCCCCCCCTCCCCCCTTCCCCCCCCCCCCCCCCCCCTCCTCACCCACCCCCCATCCAGACTCAGAAGACAAGCAGGGGCGGCCGAAGTCCGCGCCCCCCCACCCCGCCGCCCCGCGCGAATAAGCTCGACGATCGGCCAGGGCACAGCAGCAGGTGGATTCGCTCCACCTCGGCCCCAGCCCAGCCCATGTAACGCATCCTCCCTTCCTCCCCCGGTCACTGCTCAAGCCCTGATCCCCCTTCTCTGCAGCCACTGATGCTCCTCCTCGTCCCCCTTATCATCGCCCTCCCCCCCCCCTTGCTCGCCTGTCTTTCTCATCCAATCTCCTTCGCCTCTCCCCGTGCCATGCCCCCGCCCCTCATCGCGTCGATTCTCCACCCCAGCCCCCCGCCCCCCGCGCAAGCCCCCCTGGCTCTGCCCCGCCCCGCCTTGTCGCCGCGCCCCACTCCGAGAGCAGATCGGTGACTGGGGGGATGTCCGTCTGGAAGGCCCGGCACCAGGTCTCTCGTTCTCGTTCTCTCTCTCTCTCTCTCTCTCTCTCTCTCTCTCTCTCTCTCTCTCTCTCTCTCTCTCTCTCCCTCTCTCTCTCTCTCTCTCGACCTCTCTCTCGTCTCCCCCCATCCTCTCTCTCTCTCTCGTCTCCTCCCATCCTCCCATCTCCCATCCCGTTGCTCAGGGTGATGGACGGCGCGACTCCGGCCGATTAGATCCCGGGGTCCCTGAGCTGAGATTGAACGCTTCTTGCATCCGCCTCCTCCTCCTCCTTCTCGCCCCCTCCCCCCCTCGCCCCCCCCTCTCCCCATCCTTCGCTCCATCTCCTCTTTCGCCCTCCCCCCCCTCCTCCAGCGCCGACCCATGCGCTTGCGGCGCCCGTTGGTGGTTGCCCCAACACGGCGCCATCGTGGGGTCGCTGAGCGTGAACGCGGCCCCCCGACTCTGCCCCCCTTCATCTTCCTCCGCCTTTTTCTCCTCCTCCTCCCCCTCCCTCCTCTCAGTGGCCCCCTTCCCGTCACTTCCTAGCCTCCTTCTCCTCATTATCCTCCTCCTCCTCCTCGCCCCCCTCCCCCCGCCCCCCCCCCCCCGCGCCCTCCTACCCCCGCCCTTCCTGCGCCCCCCTCCCCATTGCCCCTCGGGAGCCCATGGCAGGGGGAGAAGGAGGGCGCTATGGAAGGGGGGGGGGCCTTGCAGGCCGCCGCCCAGGTTGGAACGGCGACGGGGGGCGATGGAGCCCGGGAGATGGAGGGAGGATACGACGAAGAAAATAAAGGGGAGAGGGGTGATTACATCATGGGCCAGTGCCTCTAACGTTCGGCCGCCCGGCAATCTGCGGCGGCCCAGCGAGGCGCCCGCGGCCCCCGCGTCAACGGCTGCAGCGGCGAGGACGTTCACACTGTAGCCGTCCGTGGGCCACTCGAAATACTCGAGGAGCAGCTCAGCTTCCACGGGCCCCCAAGAAACCCCAGACCCCGGGGAGAAAGGTTGAGATCCCAACCGGACGCGTGAGATCCCAACCGGACGGTTCAGATCCCAACCGTCAAGGACACGTGGGACGCGTGAGATCCCAACCACTTTGGAGCTTCTGAAAAGCTCCAACCTCTGCAAGGTTCTGAGAGCCACTGCGAGCCTTTGAGAGTTTCTGCGAGAGTCTGAGAGGTCCTGAGAGATTCTGAGAGATTCTGAGAGATTCTGAAAGATTCTGAGAGATTCTGAGAGATTCTGAAATATGCTGAGAGATTCCTAGAGATTCTGAAAGACCTGAGAGATTCTGAGACATTCTGAGAGATTCCTAGAGATTCTGAGAGATCTAATCGATTCTGAAACATTCTGAGAGATTCCTGAGAGATCCCTGCGAGCCTCGGAGAGATTCCTGCAGAGATTCTGAAAGATTCTGTAAGATTCGGAGAGATTTTCATTACTACTACTACTACTATTACTACTACTACTACTACTACTACTACTACTACTACTACTACTACGACTACGACTACGACTGCTACTACTACTACTACTACTACTACTACTACTACTACTACTACTACTACTACTAGTACTAGTACTACTACTACTACTACTACTACTACTACGACGACTACTAATACTACTACTACTACTACTACTACTACTACCACTACTACTACTACTACTACCACTACTACTACTACTACTACTACTACCACTACTACTACTACTACTACTACTACTACAAATTCTACTAATACTTCTAACACGAACACTAACACTAACACTAACACTAACACTAACATTAACACTAACACTAACACTAACACGAACACTAACGCTAACACTACTACTACTACTACTACCACTACTACTACTAATACTAGTACTAGTACTACGACTACGACGACTACTACTACTACTCCTGTTGTTACTACTACTAGTACTACTAGTACTACTAGTACTACTATTACTACTACTGCTAATAATAATACGAATACTAATACTAATACTAGTACTGCTGCTGCTGCTGCTACTACTACTACTACTACTACTACTACTACTACGACCACTACTCCTACTCCTACTCCTACTACTACTACCACTACTACTGCTACTACTACTACAGCTATTACTACGGCTACTACTACTACTACTACTACTGCTACTGCTACTGCTACTGCTACTGCTACTACTACTACTACTACTACTACTACTACCACTATTACTACTACTACTACTACTACTACTACTACTACTACGACTACTACTTGCACTGCGACTACTACTACGACTACTACTACTAATTGTACTACTACTACTACTACTACTACTACTACTACCACTACTACTACTACTACTACTACTACTACCACCACTACTACTACTACTACTACTACTACTACTACTACTACTACTACTACTACTACTACTACTACTACTACTACTACTACTACCAACCACTACTACTACTACTACGACTACTACTAATAATAATACTACTACTACTACCACCACTACTACTACTACTACTACTTCTACAACTACTACTACTTGAGGCTCGCCTGGAGCCTCGGCCCCTCAGGGCCTCGGGAGCGGCCTCCTGGTGCCGCCCCCGGGCCCTCTGGGCCCCTGCGGGCCCTCGAACCCAGGCGGGCCCCCCAAGCCTCCCCCGCGCCTCTGAGGAGGGGGGGGAGGGGCCCTTTCTCCTCTTGAGCCACGCGGCAGCGCGGGGCAAGCAGCCGTCGCCACCAGGGCCGTCATCGCCGCCGGCCTGCACACCGCCGCCTGTGCGCCCTTGCCGCTC